GAGAGGGAGGGAGGGAGGGAGGGAAGAAACTTGTTAGAATCCGTTTGCCTCCCCCTTTCCTTTTTGGAGAGGTTTCCTTTTCAAGCATAGGTCGAAAAACTACTTCAGGAATTGGAATATTAATATTCATCATAATAAAAGTTGGCTGCCCTCCTTTCTCACTTTGTGCTTTCAGACTGCTTTGCAAACAGACAGCACGCGTTACTTCAGTTTTATGAGAGGCTGGGTGCTTGTTTCCAGCTAGTGGCAGCGGTGGCGGTACTTTTTTCTTTCTGGCCTTTGGTACCTAGACTTTTGGGGACTCGGTGGAGGCCATTCCTCTGCATGCTTGCACTTTGTGCCTGGGAGGGAGCCATGCGGGATTCGCCTTTCTGGGAAAGTTGTGCTCTTGTCCCCCTCCCCCAACCCTCCCCCCCTTTCAGCTGCCAGAGGAAGAGAAGCTAAGTTGCTGGCCCCTTCCATGTTCAGTCCCCCTCATGCACCAGCCCTCCCCCACCCCTTGGGCACTGTGCCCCTCTATCAGAGGGCTCCCAAAATGGCACTGGGTGTGTCCATGGGACAAGAGAGTTCACCCACTTCATACCCGAGGATCTCTTGGTGCTGAAAAAATGGGAAACCAGTGAGGTTAGATACCCCAATGGCGTATTTGTTGACCTTTGCTGCCCTTCAGTTGAGCTGCGGCTTCCCTTCAGGGCCTTCTGCCAGTTTCACCATCAGGATGCCTTGTCCTCTTTCCCATTTTGTCTTCCGTTCAACATGAGGTGTTTTGATCTTGGCTGCTGTTCTGCTGCCTGTTTTGGCCAATGAGAAATTACAAGTTGGTACAGTACTGAAGATACGTTAGGCAGGAAGGCCTGGAATTCGAACACAGTTGTGTCCGCCTGCTCTTTTCTTCTTCCTTCATGCCTTTTGATGGTCTCTGTGTTGGAGATCCTGAGCTATGGGAGCATGTCAAGCAAAGTCAGAAGCCATCAAGAAAAATGTGTTTTGCAAATGGCAAGTGTTTGTAATATTTGGGCAAGTGCTTTTGGGTAGCTTTCAATTGGCTTCGTGAGAGGGGAAGATGGGATGGGCGAGGGATGACTTGAATGCTTGAGTGGAAGAGGGTAGCGTGCAGAGCATCTCCACATACCATGTACACAGCCACAGATACAAACCCTGTGGCGATCCCTGTTAGTGTGGACTAAACCGACTGGTGTCAGAGACGGACAGGGTTTGTATTTCACCACAGATATCCTCATGTACAACATTTTACTGTATTATGTCCTGTAATTGGCTTTGTTCATTCATGTATGGTAAAGGAAAAATGACAGTATTGGAGGGGTCCTGAATATTTACTTCCTCTTTGGTGATTTCAGCCTCTAAGAATATGGCCTTCTCACTTCATTTGCAAAGCCATTCATTCACTCAGGAGTGGGCAGCAGAAGCCAGCCAGATGTCCTTGAATACAATTCCCATCTATTCTTACTCAAGATAGCCGGTGATGAGATCTGCTGAGAGTCACCCACAAACAACTGGAGGGATACAGTTGCCCACCCATGCTCTGAGGTCTGGTAAAAAATGTGCCGACAGAATTCTGTGGCAGTTCCCAAATTTTTGTCATACTTGCTATCTATGACCTCAAGGAATAATTCTCTCTTCAATAGTTTTTTTTTTGGGGGGGAGTAGATGGGAGTCATAATTGGTTTCAGAAAGTGTGATTGCAATGTTGGAAGTGAGGGGCCAAGAAGGGCAGCCATGGGCCAAAAGTAAAAGCTTCAGGGACTGACTGTCCTATAGGTTGATAGTTCTACACTCATGTGATATGTAGATATGGATGTATCTTTGACCCTAATTAGTATAATGGTTTATTTAACTCTCAAGGCTGGAAGTTGAGATTCCTCTTCTGCATTTTTTTGTTTATTTTGTTTTTAATGCACTTTTTATTTGCTCAGGTAATCAGTTTTTTAAAGTGTGGTTCTCACTTGGGATCACAATGACAACCAAAGCTGTACGCACCTTCTCTGTTCAATGTTCTGCTTGCTTACACCACTCCTCAGCTCTGCTTGGCAATCATGGTAGAATTCTTGGGAATCAGATACAATTGTGGGAGAAACAAATGATGAGATCCAGAATACTTGGGAATGAAGGTACAGTACATTGGAACAAGTTACAGCAGTTTCTCTGTTGTTGGCCAGACTCAGCTTTGCAAAAAACTTTGTCCAGTAGTACAGGATCTGAATTGATCTGTGCACCTTTTGTGATCAGATTTCTTTAAAATATTGCTGTTTACTCCTGTAGTTGGGAGTATATTTGGAGTTATCAGCTAAAGCATATTCATTGGCATAGGATGAGTTCTCCGTTTTATTTACGGTAAAACTCAAGGCCTTCACCTTTAAATGAAGAACAGTAGCAGAATCATTTGTCAGCCTGGAAATACCTAAGTTTGCCAGCTGAAAATGCCCAAGAGAAAGGAAACTTTGGAGATGTGATGGCTTCTGCAGTAGCTTACTGTATTCAGCAGTTCTGAAATGAAACTTCCAGTGCTTCAATACAAAAATAGATTTGCATTGCCTGCAGAACTGTTTTTGTATTGCAGGTAGGTAAGGGAGTATGTTTGGGTCTTTGAGATACTGATTTCTTACATTCCTAAAGTTCACAGATTGATAGTTTTGTGGGAAACACAGTGTGCATGCCAATTCACCCTGATGTAGATGCTGCTGGTCCGATTTCTTATAGCCATGCTGGGCACTATGAAGTGGCCCCACAGACTTATGTCCCACAGTAAATAGGTACTTCAGTTTTTGGATGAACTTTTGTTTAAAAGGAACAGTGCTTAAGTGGTAATTCAAGAAGCTGCCAACTGTGTAGTGCAGCAAAAAGTGCCCCAGTTTTATACTGTTTTCAAAGTACAAAATTTATACACATGACTTCAGGTATGGAAGATAACACTGTGAATTGATTAAGATTTTCCCCTTAACATAGTTATGCCATGAGGTAGTGTGTGCACATACATGTAAGTGTGTAAGAGAACACCTTTTCAACTTAAACAGAATTGCAGTCCTTGTTGCACTGCAAATATGTGAGGATAGCAAATAATTGCATCCATCTGTTTATTTCTGTTTGAACACCTTTTTCATCCAAAGATGGAAATGCAGTTCCTAGATGGCTTGGTAGCAAAAACATGGCTATGAAAGGGCCAAACTTAAAGCCTCCCACGGCAGGAAAATTGGAACTGAAAGTGCAGTTCCTGCTGTTATTTTATTTAGTGCTCCGAGGAATTTCCATGTGTAGTGAGTGACACTTGGGTATTGAATATCTGCTTTGAAAAGTCAAGATCTGTGAAATAAGGAAGTCAGTTGTAAGAGGTCCTTCTGCTTCCATTTGAGTGTGGAATAAATAACCTTCCTTCAGAGTCACAGGAAGCCTCCCATTAACCTTGTTCTTTGTCTCTCAGAGGCAGCATTTGGATGATCAAAGCTCAGCTGAAAAAAGGCAAGATATGAACAAGCCGCCTGCACCTGCATGCAGGCACTTTGCTCCTCCCTTTGTCCAGAAAGGAAAACAGGCTAGGAAGTTAGACGTCAGATGTGTCTTTCTTCCATGTCCGCACTAGGCAATAGTGATTAAGGGCCTCCAAAGAAGTCAGGATCACAGTTTGGTCATGTTAGCTGAGGGATT